TCTCATGACTAATTCTTGATTATACTTCAAGAGTAGCAACAGAAGGACAAACATTCTAATTGCGAGAGATAGCATCTTTAGTGTTTATAGTGAACAATTAATAATTAACCCTTTACACATGTCTGTTAATTTTAGTGCCAATTATAACTGTATCCTTGTTATGTAATTACAAGTCATCCAACTTAAGTTTGTGTTGTTAACTTTTATGTTCTTTTTGCTGAGGGCAATAGAGGGCACATTGTGATTGAATCCTCATGCTGACAAAGCAGACGTCACTGTTCGTGCACATCAGAGGCCTCTGCATGAGCATTGGAAGACTCTCTGTGACAATTATTCAGGAGGGAAAGATGCGAAGGTGTCTGGGGTAGAGGGAAGCTACAGAAATACCAGAAAAAACAGCAACAATCTGCCTTGCCTCACCCATGCTTAAAGAAGAACTATTGGGTTTTTCAAATTAACCCATGCAGCAGGACTACCCCACACTGAAAGGTTTAAGTGCTCATTTTGGTCTTGGGCGAAAATAAAGAAGATATACACACCTGATCTTCGGTCCTGTGGCAGTGACCTCTCACCTCTCTCTCCCTCTGGTGCTAGAAAGTCTCTCACGTCTTGCATTAGATAGGATTACCTGCATTAGATGTGATGTCACAAGTCCTTAGACCACCAGAGCAGTGGGGAGAAGAGGCTGCCGGAACTGGACTAGCAGCAAGGTGGAACTGAGGATCAGGTAAGTATATTTTCTTTATTTTCATTCCTAGAACAAAATGAGCACTTAACCCTTGCATTGCGGATGTAGCCCCACTTCAAGGGTGAATTTGAAAGAATCCTGGAGTTCTTCTTTAAAGCCACCTATATGAGATAAATGTAGCATTTTCATCTAGGTTAGTTCGGGACCATCTCATATCTATAGTAGACCCCCCAACTCTGCTCACCTTCGGCTGCCAGAGAGAACAACCAACCAGATGGTTTAGAAGGCTGGCCCTTCCCAGTTACTATTGCTCACAGCCAAGTAATGGAAATGCCAAGTGATGGCAGTGACTGCCATCATCATTCATCTCCTCCCCTTGATCTCTACATTTGTGCTTATAAAGCCACAACTATGTTTTGCATAGAGTGCAAAAGGGTTATAATAAGACATGAGGTTCAGGTTCACCACTACTATGGGTTAGTAGCCTAACCTCTGCGATTTGCAAGGTTCACAAATTGCAAACATTTAGCTGAAAACTTCACTGCCAAAGATAAGGGACAACCTATAAGGCAGAACAAAGCCTCCTATAACTTAGCTTTGCCAGCTAAGTTATAGGAGGCAATCATTTAAACGAATGGATATGGAAGAATGGAAGGAATGGATTGTCAGTGTGTGTTGGCACTGTCAGGGAGAGCTTTTTTTATTATTTATTTTTTATTTTTGGCATTGGTACATGTCCCCCATAGGAGTACCCAGCGTTCCATGCCTTTGGTTTGACAATGGCTTGCTCATTATGAAAAGATTCACTCCTGTAGACTTCAGTAGGGTTCACCGAAAGGTTGCAAATGTCGAGTAAGATTCACGGAACTGTTCGAGAGACAAAACCCGGCAGATTCACTCATGCATAGCTATAACCGCTCTCAGGTTTTTATTGGCTGGGGCTGCAGCACATCCCATCCAGTCTGAGCAGCCTGCAGCCGCAGTAGCTCTGCAACTGATTCATTTCACTGACATCTTGTATGAATAATACATCAACTTTAATTCCTTTTAAATATTGACTAGTAATGTACAAGCTTCTTTGTAGAGTTACTAACATGTATAGTAAAAGGGAAAAAAATTGGTAGCTGGCCAGTAAAACATTCAGATTCTGTCAGTACATACAGTATGGTTTTAATGAGAATAAGGGACAAGTGGCTCACTGTCATACATACTGCCAGTGCAGTTATAAAATATCTCATATCTGAGCCACCGGATGAGACAGCTTTCTCAAACCCCCGTTCAAGTTGAATGGCCTTAATCCTTATAAGCTAAAAAAAAGTTGTGTGTAAAGCTACCCTATCATCAAAGCTGGCTGGCTGCTTTTTAAGAACTAGGGTAAAGGCAAAGGAGGCCTGTAACCTGTAGCAATCAAGTAGGTGTTAGTTATAATTGCCTACCCTGCATGATAAGTATGAGGCCTGGTTGGCTGCGATGGATAACACTTGTCTTTCTAATCTCCAGTTTGTATAAAGCAGTCCCTGTAGTAGAAATCACTTGAAGAATGAATGCCTCTTTAGTGATTATCATACAGCATCAAGGGTTAACTGGACGACCAGCAGTTACGTGTTTCTTGATAAAGCCTGCATCTTGTAAAAAGTCTCATTTTCGCCGCCTGATCTAATTCTGTGGGTTTGAGTTAAAAGCCAGCTACTCTACAGATCTTTCACCGGGTGCCAGCTGACTATGTTAAAAGGAAATCCAATCTAGTCGCCCTCCCCATTTCTGTCAGTTGTCCTCAGCAGTACCCCTTGTAGACGGTCCCAAAACCTCTTGAATTTCAAAAACTCCTATGCTGCCAGCTGTGCGGCCCGCTTTATTTTTGCCCATACTTAGGCCAGGCTTTTGGATCAAATCTTTTTTCGGCCCTTGTTGACACTGAGCCTTCACACATCCATTTCTGCAATTGTCATAACTTTGTAAACCCCTTGTCATCACATCTTGCTGATTGTCTAAGTCTGTCCTTGTTATCATTTTGAATCAAGCAAAACTGCTGGAGGCATAATCTTATTATGAACGATCTGTGAAAGCTAGTTAGGGCTTGCAGTCATTAATTAGAATACAATTGCTGAGTGTCTACATTTCTGCCCCATAGAGAACTAATAACCTGACCATTACAAACTGGAATTGGATGCTGACATGTATTAAACAGGACCTGAATGCACACACACTCTCTCTTTCTCTGTGTATATTTATATATACACATGTTTTTTTATTAAATAATACATACAGTATTACATTATTATTTTTGCAGAGGGCCTTGTTACTATCAGTTCATGCAAAACTGATAGTTCAGCTGATAAGCTGAATAACTGACTAACTTCTTACATATATTGAGGACACCCATGGAAGTTCACATCCCTTAATGGAGTTCCACAAGGAGGGTAAAACGCCTGCTAATGACTTGGGAACACATGCATAGAAATCTGACATCCAGTGGGCCATGCTACTAGCCAACATTCAGTAGTGCGGGCTAGCTCTGCACTGCAAGGGTTAACTGCTCGATTTGGTCTAGGGAGGAAAATAGAAAAATTATAATCACCCGCTCCTCCGAGCAGGCACCCAGCCTCACTTCCCCTCCGCTGCAGTGGTGTAAGTCATCATGTTTTATATAGAGTGTATAGAAGGTGAGGACGCCGAGGGAGATTACCATCATTGCAGTAGAGGTGGAGACAGGCAGAAGGGAGCGCTGCCACAGCCGGCTGGCTTGGAGTATCGGGTGAGTAGAACTCCCTAAACCAAAATGAGCAGTTAACCCTTGCAAATGGGCGGTAGCCCCATTGCAAGCGTTAATAAGAAATGTTGCCCGGACTTCTTCTTTAATATAACATCTGTTTATAACACTAAACTATAGGAACCAGGACTTACCATTATCATATAAGAGGTCATAAAGCTGTGGCTGGTTGCAATTCCTTCCACTAGAGTTTAAATTATTATTTTTTCTATTTTTCTGTATGTGTGAAATACACCCTTTCAACTCATGCATGCACATAGTTATTCATCAGCTAAATACAGTATTCATATACCCCCTACATGTGCATGTACTGGGCTCACTATCCATTGCATGGAAGCCTGAGAGATGCATATTGTGAAGGTCCTCTGCAGGTAAGAAACATCAAAATGCATGGCCACAGACACTTTTTGCCGACTATGGAGATAGGCCGGTTTCTCAGCTGATTAATGTAAGTTTGGAGTTCAAGTGATACCCTTTATTGACTAACTTAAGTTATCAAAATGTGGTATAATTTCTGACAAAGAAACCTATGGCATTGAAACGTAGCATCTTTATTTACTTAAGATAGACTATAGAGGGTTTACTTTACCTCCAAACTTTCCACATTGATTGATTACACTCTACTTCTCAAGCTACTGGAAACAGGTCCTTCTAAGCACCAGCAATATACAGTACTGAAGATCACTGAAATTGTATATTTGGCAGTTAGCTACGTTGTAATCATTTTGCATTTGGTGAGGTGTTTGGCAGTAACAAAGGATTGCATTCATCTGAATGTTAATGTTATTCAACAAACTAGCCATAGAATAGTAAGTTTTTAAATCTTTGTGCTTGAAAAACCTTGAGTTGATAGGAATATTTCACCGTTTGCCTTGTGCTTAGTACAAACAGAATACGAGCAAATGTCAGACATTTTCTTTTTTAAGGTCACAAATCTCCAGTGTATTTTTACAATAGCTTACAGACTACATAACATTGGTGACCCTCTTAACTTATATAAAACCTTTGAAAACCTTGTATGTTAAGCAAGCAATGGTTATTGAAGGTCTTATTTTCTTGGTATAAAAATCTCTCTTATGTGACATTTTTACACTTAAATTGTTATGAAAAGGAACCTCTTACCCAATAAAAGAGTATATGTACCATTGTTTCTTTGTACATAACTCAATGTGAGTCTGCCAGTGTTGTTACAATATAATGCTTTTTCAAGCTACACAACACCATGATCTTTCCTGACATATGACAGATTCATTTGTAATACAGCATTTCTTAAATATGAAAACTTTACCTATTTTATCATTTTACTTTTCTAACTACTAAATGCACACACTGAGTATGCTACATAACATTCCAGAAACCATCCTCCTTTTCAGCCCCCTTGTTTCTACATTCCCATCAGTCCTTTTAACATATTTTATCGATGATTGTTCTATCTGTATTGCCCAACATGCACCCATCAGCATCATTTCACTTGTTCAAACGTTTTTGCATATTGTCTTCTTCCTTACATGCAGAGTTATACCCTCCTCCCCTTGTACTCACTTGGGGATGGATCAGGATCCGTGGGAAGGGCTGAGACAAGGCAACGGTGAGGTGGCCCTGAGGAGGGATTCCCTCTTAAATACTTTCTCCATCTGTTCTATTTTGAGATGGTTCATCCCATCCTCCTCAGCATCCAGGTCCCTTGGTGTCAGATGCCCTGAGACAGCAGGAAAGGGATCAGGTTTATTGACAAGTAACTCATCAAGAAACTCTATTAATACGCCTGGCAGGGGCTCAGATCCTAGACTTGGGCTCCGAGGCCAAAGGAGGAAGGAGAACTGGTAAAGAGACAATCTACCTGAAATGTGAAGGGTGGGGGTGGGGAGACCCCACTAGCTGCTTATGTGCGCCCCAAGACTGAACACATAGGCTGGCATCCTGCTACTGCGACCTGATCTGCATTTACACGTGTGATCTGCCAGCCTTTAAAAAGTCAGAGGACTGCGGGCTCCTATCCAAGTAAAATCTAGATGGGTAGTAAGTGTGCCAGAGAATAGGTCAGAAGTCCACAGGATCCAGCACAAGTGGAGACAAAGAACTGGGCCTGAAAAAAGAGGATTGTGGAATGTATAAGCTAAAACATGATTGGATTTGGTTTTTTTAAGGGTTGTTCTGGATGGTTATGTTCGGAATTTACTATATAATATAAATGTGCTCTGGAAGAAGGAATGAAGAAACAAGAGCATCATGGATTGGTTGTTTATTTTCTACCTTGACAAACAGAAATTGATGGATTCATGTGCTCTCATGTATGTCATTAGCAGTCAGCAGCAAATCAAGAAATCAGTGTGCAGAATGAAATGGCCCGTTTTGGGGCTGAATGTTTTTGCCGACTTTATCTATGGAACGTTCTTGTCTCTGTGTTATCGGTGGGTTGTGTTCCAAGAGTTTGTCTCAGCCTGTACTACAGTTTGGAGCAAGCCTGTGGCTGCAGAGGACGAAGAACTCTTGGAATGGAAATGCCATGGATTAGCCACAAGTCATTCCATCCCCCTCCTGTTATTTTCAGTGTGCCAGGACTACTGAATGAATAAACGTGGACACAGGCACATAACTTGTTGTAGCTGCAGGTATGAAATACACAGCCAAGAGTCTATGGAATCCTTTATATGTCTTTTGTACGCATGAACTCAGCTAGAGGTTACTAAACACCGAGATACAAATAGGAACTTGCCATTCATAATAGCTACAAGAAGTCAGCAAGATCTACAAAAGAGGTTCACCAACCTGCCCTTGGGCACTCCTAGCAGAATGTGACAATTATAGGTCAATAATGTAATTAGAATTGAAGAATGTTGTACAATGATTCAGTCGGTGATTAATGCACTTAAGCTCTTCTTCTTTGTCGGGCAGAGGTGAGATAATAACTGTGCTAAAGGATAGATTGTACATAAAGTTGGGTTAATGTAATATCCCTCTCGGGTTCTTAGGTATGCTAATGTCATTGGACAAAGTGATTATACCAGATGTGTGTTCATTTTTGCACCCTATCTGAGAAAAAAAAAACAACAAAAAGAAATAGAAACCAATGGGTTGCTAAGGCAACAGAGGAACATTCCTTATATTATTTTACAAGTCCTGTACAGGATGATTTTGAGTACATTAAGGTACATTGATGTCTGGTTATACATTTTCACACAACATTTACTCAAGATTCCCACATTTTCCCAGCGAAATCCAATTAGACAAATCTGTGATTCTTGAGTGAAAGTTGTTTAACTCTCATCGGAAAACACTATGGATACACCTCTAAGGCCTTGTTCACACCACATGCAGAGCAGATCTGCTCAGGTTTCTGCACATGCAGTGCAGTGGGTTGTGCCGTGTTTTTTATGCGTTCTGGGCCGTTTTTGGTTAAAAAATGTTTTTTTTTTAATTTAACATGGGCTTTCAGTGCGTTCCAGGCGATTGCATGCGTTTTTGATGCATTTGCATGCATTCCAGAGCAGGTAAAATAGGGCTTTCTGCAGTTTTTTCACCTGCTCTGGAACTGCACGCTGCGATGTAAACTGGAGCAAAAAATACCATTGGGATACATTGGATGCAGTTTTGATCCGGTCTGCAACTGCTCTGCACCTGCTCTGCGCTTGGTGTGAACAAGGCCTTAGTGTCAGAACAGTCAAACAATTGTACTCATTGTAATGTTTTTAATTTTGCCTTTTATTATTTTGAAGGTAGGATTGGGCTGCAATCTGGCGTATGTGGCAATTGCCAAAAGGGGTCCCGGGAGAATAAGAATGCTCATGTAAGCTCCTATAGCTTTCCTCACCATCAGTGTGGTCTGTTCGATTGGGACAGTAATAATCACTGCAGTTCTGACACTTGTCTTACAATACTGCACATAGTCTACTGAGTCAGCAATGTTTTAATGTAGCTGTATTGGTTCTTGGAATGTAGCACACTGCACACCCACCCCCTACCCCTTTTAACCCATGCAAGGCACTGCAGGCAGTACTAGGGTATGTGCGCAGTGGAAATTGGGATGTGTTTCTTGATGCTTCAGTTCGGTGTGAGTTTGCTTTTGGATGCCATTAAAATGCCAAAATACCTTGTCTACCTAGGAGTTTTGGGTGCTCTTGCCCACCTTTACATGACTCAGCTCCTGCTGCTGTTTTCTCCATGAATATATACATTTATATATATATATATATATTTAGAAA